AATATACTCATTTCACTTTCGTGAATGAGTCTAATAAGTTCTCTGATGCAGCGCAATCTAACAAATCTAAACTAATCTAACTGCTGAGAATTGTAGCACTTCAATCGCAATGTGATTCTAAGAATATGTTTTTAAAAAAATTTGAGTGTATGTGTGCATATATAGGCAAACTATTGTAGCGGCTGCACGTGCGTTTGTTGATTGGCCAAATATTTTGTTATTTTTATTAACGTCGATTGACTTAACGGAATTTATTGAAGCTTTCCGCTTTTCTGGTGAATTTGGAGCCGATATCCAAAATGTAACGAAAATTGAAATTTTATAAAATGCATCTGAATATATATTTAATTTGGAGACTCTAGTTTTAAAAGAGATATAATTTAATTAATTTTCGATAAGGTTTTTAATCGATAAAAATAACGGGATGAGTTATCGATTGTGGAAGATAAACTCGATATGCGCGCTATAATACGGGCATTTAAAAAATTTGAAGTGTCTAGCTCTTATATCTCCTGAGATCAACGCTCAAACGGACAGACGGGCTAAATCGACTCAGCTCGTCACCCTGATCAAGAATATATATACTTTATGAGGTCTGCCTCGCCTCCTTCTGCCTGTTACATACATTTCAAGAAAACCATTATAGCCTTACTTCCCATTTTCAATGGGTTCAGAATATAAAAATTAAACTTAAATAGCGTCGTTTTACTTACCTGCTTTACAGTTATTGACACCTTCGCTTTGCTGGATTGATAAGACTGTTGGTTAATAGCAGCACCCCTGTCGTTGGCTAAAACAATAAGCTCGTAGTGTGAATTCTCAGCGTAGTTGAGCTGTTTCAGGATGGTTATATCCCCAGTAGTTGGGTGAATAGCGAAACTCTCGCTCTCTATTAAAAAGCTATAATAGATTTCACCATTGATCCCTAGATCAGCATCGTCAGCAATAACTTTTAAAATACTATCGTGTTTTGGAGTGTCCTCAGGAACGGTTACCGCATACTCAGTTGGATAAAATAATGGACTTAAGTCATTTCGATCTAGTACTTTTACATGAATCGTCGTGTCAGTTTCATAGATAGAGTTGTTTTTACCATTGGCATACGTAATATGCGCCCGAACCTTTAGATTGTATTCCTCAGTTTTTTCTCTATTTAAAACGACATTACTCGTCCGCGTTCGAATACTTAAGAAGGCAAAGTTCCCAACAAGTCTTTCTTCGGCCTTAAACAGCTTCTCCTTATCGCCACTTATTATCCTATACTTTATATCGTATTTTGAATCGATTGTTATTCCGGCCAAGTCCTCATGCAATACTCCTTTAGCGTAGGTTTTGCCAATACTGTTTTCTGGTATTGTAACATTATATGTTTGGTGGCTAAAGTCTGGTTTTGTAGCCAAAAGTGATTTTCCATGAGAGAGGTTAGCTCGGACCGCATTGTCTGATGAAAATGCAGGTTGAAGTAGTAAAACGAAACTAATTAATGATATCCACTGAAGTAAAAATCTTTTTTTTTTCGTAGCAGTGTGGGCATAATTTTTTAAATGCATATTAGACATTAGCTATTGTCCTCCGCATGGTATTCAGTCCTACAAATAAACAAGGATAAAATAAAAATAATTAAAACAATATTTTTAATATATTTGGTTACATATACTCGTTCCCCTTGTGACCGAAATATTTTAGAAAATATATTATGACCTACCTACGCTTGAGAATATTCAAAGTTTTCATGACTTTGCTGACCTCAGTGCGTATTCACGCAGAGCTAGATGGAGAATGATTAAATACATATATTCTTGTTTAGCACTACGACCTAAATTTATCCATTATTTTTTAATTTTTACGCATGACTTTAACAAAAATGATGTTAGAAGCCTGCGGCCTAAAATTAATTCAATCTCATTACATTATGAAAATCTTCCATTTACTTTATATAATATAAAAGTAATTCAGAAATCTATGTCCCATAATACAGCTCTTTTTTACATAAAACATTTTAAGCTGTAGATCTACGTGCAGTGTGGAGTATCCTAAATTCTTCAGACTTATGATTACTTTGTCTATGTCTATAAAAAGCTGAGCTCTAAGATAATACAACCAATAGCTGTAGATTGTATGGAAGTCTGGACTTAATAGAGCGCAATGTTCGACACATTATATTGTCAATACTACTAAAGATAACGCATACCACTTTTTATACCCTGAACCCATTAAAAATGGGAAATCAGGGTATAATGGTTTTGTGAAAAAGTATGTAACGGGCAGAAGGAATCATCGCAGACCCCATAAAGTATATATATTCTTGATCAGCGT